TTATTCATATTATAGTCTCTAACTAACTTGATTGGCATAAATTCAATTCTCATTAACCATTATCTCATTGGTCATTTATAATCAATGCTTAATTTCAACAAGCTTTCCAACTCAATTAATTCCCAATAATTCCTTTAATAGACCCAAATTTGTTAGAAGGCCCAATAGGGTATTGGGCCACGAGTCCTATGAGTCAAGTAGTTGATTAGGCCAAAATGAGTTTTGACGCGAATCTTAATTTCAATTGGATTTATATTTAATTATGAATTAAGATAAGATTCAATTTAAATTCAAATTCAAATTCAAGAGGTTAAGTAAATAAGGATAATTTTGAATTATCCAAAGTCCTATCCAATAAGGATTGGATAAGGCTTATTGAAACAATTCTATTATTTGAATTAAGAATTCATATAAAGTTTTTGAAGCAACAACCATGAAGATGAACGATGATAGGGGTGAATTTCAAAGTGGGAAAATTCTAGAACCCTCATGAAATCTGAATTACATGGAGAGGCTCCATAAAACTTGAATTTCGAATTCAAGTTTGTTTTCATGATAAGAACCAAAGTTCAAGATGGTTCTAGAACCCATGTTGAAATTCGAATTTCATGAAGTAGCTTCATAAAGTCATTTGCATTTTGAATTCAAATATAGAGAACAGTTCTCCAACTACATGATAGGATAAAATCCAAAGAGGATCAGAAAATCCTCTTAGATTTAGCTATTCTAGTAGGCATTCAAATTAGGATTAAATCCAAATTTAAGTGGCTGATGTGAGGTGCCACGTATGATATCTCTTCGTGAAAAACCAAGCGCCCCTTTTATGAACCAAGAACCCTAGTCTTGGTCGCCTATTCACCTTCACCCATCCTTCATTGTTGCTCCCCACACTTAACCTCAAGACAACATCATAGTCTTTAGTAAGTAAACCTAAATATTTGATAGCATCCACCTTTTATTCGCCTAGCAAACTATCAAGGAGAAGGTGTTCTAGCTTGAAATCAAGAGACAACCTTGTGGATCACCATTAGAGGACGCCATACACTTTGGAGTCTTCATATGAAAGGTACAAACTTTAACCCCCTACGTGTCTTTAACGAGTATAATATAGGCAAGAACGCACGAGGAACATAAATGGGTTTATGTTCCTGCATAAAAAACAAACAAACAAAAAATTATTTTCACCCTCGTGTGTGCACTCCTTAGATCAACCAAGGGGCTGTATTTTTTACTTTCAAGTAATTCTCTTACATGTGTCTCAATTCCTCTTTGTGTGTGTGCACGCATGTACAAATGTGTATGTATGTGATTAAGTGGGTGTATGGATGCAAGTACAAGTGTGCGACAGCGTCACAAATGTGTTGATACACACACATACACATACACATGTAAAGGTATGATCAACTTACATCGGTGTAAGAATAATAAATCTTACACCAAATCTTAACATTTGATTTTCATGCATATGGCGATTGTAATTTATATTAGAAAAATTAATTAAGAGTAAATACCCTTTTTGATCCCTAACAAAAAATACGGTCCCCACTTTAGTCCCTTACAAAAATAAATTAGTCAGTTAGTCCCTAACAAATTCAAGGTGGACCCATTTTAGTCCTTTTGAGGGACTAATATGGGTCTTTTTTGAATTTGTGAGGGACCACGATTTCAACTAAATGGGTCCACTTTGAATTTGTTAGGGACTAACTGACTAATTTATTTTTGTAAGGGACTAAAGTGGGGACCCTATTTTTTGTTAGGGACTAAAAATGGTATTTACTCATTAATTAATTAATCAATGTGATAGAATAAATTACAATCGTTAGATACACGGAGATCAACGGTTAAAATTTAGTACAAGATTTATTATTCTTACACCAGTGTAAGTTGCTCTTGTCTTATATATATAAAGGTGGCAATTTTCAAAACGACCCACTCATATGAAACAAGCACGACACATAAATTTCGTGTTTAGGTCGATCCTTTTTCAAATTCGTGTCGTGGTTTGCAAAAATTGACCCGAAAAAATTAGTATTATGTCGCGTGTCAACCTACAAACCTGAAATTGACTAGCATTAATTTTGTATAGGTAATTCGTGTCGTGTTATGTCATGTCGTAAACAGGTTATTCGTGTCTTATCGTGTCGTGTTGATTCACATAATAAGTAACACAATTTGTGGTTGACTGGTCATTCATGTCATGTCGTGTCAACCCGCATAATAAGTGATACACTGTAAGTTTACGGGTTATTCGTCTCATATTGTGCCAACCCGCAAAATAAGTGGGGCTTGTTCATGTCAATGTTTTAACCCAATTTCAAATTGGTGTCCTATTCGTGTTGAATGTATTGGTGTTGTATTCGTGTTGAATGTATTGGTGTCAATCGTGTTGTGTTGACCCGAATTGTCACCTCTATATATGTGCACATGGTTAATCTTCAACCTCTTGAATATTTTTAGACTAATTTATCATTTATATTTTTGGACTAATTTGTTATTTATTTATATGTAATGATATTTTTATTAAGACTTCTCGATCAACTTGTTATTAATTGAGATATGAAAAGAAAAAAGTGAAGTTCGATATGAATTTTTTAAGGAAAGTAGGAGTATGCATTGATGGGTTTGGTTTTGTTTTTATATTGAACCGAACCAAACCGATTTTAATGGTTTGGTTCTTCAAATTAAGCCGTTTTAATTTTTTCAAATCAATTTTTATTTTCTTGAATTAATTTGGAACTGGTTTTGAAATCGGTTTCGATTTAAAACTGATTTGCTATCAATTTTTAAAATGGTTTTAATTTGAAACTGGTTTCGAACTTGTTTTGAAATTGATCCAGAATTGGTTCATCTCTTAATTGGTTTAGAACTTAATCCGAACCGATTCTGAAATGATTTTGATCCAGTTTTGAATTGGTATTGTACCAATTTTTAGCATTTTGAGCCATTTATATACTTTTAAACTCTGAAGACACTGCTTTTGATTAATTGTGTGAGTTGAAAAAGTGACATTTATTTCTCTTTGAAAAAGTGGTCCAGCCTATTTATGTTTCTTACACACAAAAATTTCTTTTAAATTTTAAGGTTTTTCTTTATCATGAGACATTTTTTCACAATAACTTTATTTTTTACCCAATGATATATACATGTAGGGGTGCAAATGGGTTCGATTGGATTTTGACTTAAATATGTCAGATCTTTGTAAAATACTTTAAGACTGACCTGGTTTATTAGCCTTTGTAGATTCAAATTATAAGTCTAGTTTGACCAATATTTAAAAAACAAAAGCCGTTTACAAAAAAAACAAAAAAATAGCCTTGACCTATGCCGTTAGCCTGTCTAAGCCTATTAGACATTCAATAATTTAAAAAATAATTAAACTAATATAATTTTATTATTCAAAATCATTAAAGTAATACTTTTATTTAAAATAAATAATATGATGTAGGTCCGGCATGTAAAAGAAAGCCCCTAGCCTGTTTTCTAAATACATCTTTTTAAAAGTCAGAGCTTGTTATATTGGATTGTATGTAATAGGTCGAGTCTGACCTGATATAGGCTAGGCCGTAGGTCCCTGTTAGGTCACCGGCTCATTTACACCCATATATACACATATTTATATATAGAATATTCTACATTGATATAATTTTTATAATTTAATTGAAGCTAATTTTACTTTATTTTATATATCTTAAATTTTAATTGTAACAAACACTTTTAGCATGTAATGTAACAAATATTTTTCTTTTTGAACATTACTAAAAGATGAGAAACTCACTTTTTATGTAGGTAAAGTTGATTTTGTTCAGTGATAAAATTCAACCAAAATCACAATTGATATATATATTTAAAATACCCATTCACATCTCATTATAAAATTAAAAGTATATCAAATATGAGAATGCTATTTTTTTAATAAATTAATAATATTTATTTTACAAAAAAAAAATTAATAATATTTATCTTTTAAAAAAGTGAAATAATTACAAGAACAATATGTTTCCAATTTTTAAGAGGGAATTGAAATTTTTTTAAAACCCAGTTTGGATCGGTTCTTTTGTTTCTTAAACCAATTCGGCTAAAGTGGTTTGATTCATAAACCAACTTAAAGTAATATGGATCCTTTGATGCGGTTCTTATTCTTAAATCAGTATGGTTCTTTTATATTTTTTACACACCTAAAAAAAATATTAGTTCAAAATCAATTGATTGGAATCAAATGAAATCTGTTCTCATATTATATTACAAATCTGGATAACTGTTTCTCATTTTAAATGATATAATTTTATGTTATTTTTATTAAGTTATGTATTTTGATGTATTTTTAATTTTTTTTTTATAAAATTAGAAAATAAAAGAGAGAGAAAGCAAAAACACACTAAAACGACATAATTTCATTAAAAATGATACAAAATTGTGTCATTTAAAATTATAAATACTTTTTCCTTACAAATAATATCAATTAATTTTTAACATAAAAACTTAGTTAATTTAATTGGATTGATTTTTTTCTTCTTCTCAAAATCAAATAGAAGGAAGAAAACGCGAACATAGAACTAATTAGATAACATATCAAAATTCTTGTTTAGGTTTTTTTTACCCATCAAAACTTATAACACAAAAATAGCACAGAATAAAAATTGCAGGTAAACTGTGAATTATAATATTTTATGGTTCACTAATACCTGATTGCATCCTCCCAATATTTATAACATTTTTTAATATGTTTCTTCCTAATTATTTAAGAATATCGATTAGAAATTTGCCCAGAATCATAGCCCAATTTTATTTTAAACGTATTTATATAAGTCTTTTTTTTTTTTTTATCAATAGTGATCATCCAATTCCAAAGCTAGATTATAAATCAAAATCCTTATACTGGGCCCGGTTCGAGAGTATTGAATCCCAGCAAAAGGCCCATTTGTCTTTGGTGTACTCCACGATCCCACTTCACCCCCGCACTTCACCTCAGGGTGGTGGCTGAGTCTCTTTCTCCTTGCCTGCGGAACATTTCAATGTAACCGGTTGTGATTCAATACCAAATATCAATTTACACACTCGTGGCGCTTTCACATCCTCTCTCTCTCTCTCTCTCTCTCTCTCTCTCTCTCACACACACACACACACACACACACACATATCACACCTACCAATTCATGGCTTCTACACCGCCAAATCTGTTAATACACTAAAAAACGAACCCATCACGTTTTCACAACAATCCATGCATTCTGTTATGGACTTTACAAGGCTCTCAACAACTAAGCCTCCCCCTATCTTCACGCGCCTCTTGACCTGGGTCACTTCCACCGTCCCACGCCATCAATGCCACCACCTCCCACCGCCGCCGCCACGTCCTCATATACCGCCGCAAAATCAGGCTCCAATAAGCTTGGTACCTTCTATTCTCACAAGCAGGGTTCTAGATTCTTCCAAGTGTAAATCGTTGTTACCTCATTTATCCCCTCATGAGTTTGATAGGTTATTCTTTTCTCTTCAGCCCAATGTTAACCTCAAAACGACACTTGATTTTTTTCGTTTTGCTGCTAACTACTTCAAGTTTCGATTCACTGTTCGTTCTTATTGTCTCTTGGTTCGTTTGCTTCTGGCTTCGAATTTTTTGCCTCGTGCCAGATTTCTGTTGACCCGTTTGATTGATGGGAACGTTGCCACTTTGGTTGATAACAGTGAGAATAGGCTCAGTGAAATAGCTGCTTCAATGTTGGAGCTTATCCAAGTCAATGATCAAAGACATGGCGAATTGGATTTGTTGCTTCATGTTCTTTGCTCCAAGTTTAAGAATTTGGGGTTTCATTTTGCTTTTGATATCTTTGTTATGTTTTCGAGGAAGGGTATTTTCCCCTCTGTGAAAACTTGCAATTTTTTGTTGAGCTCTTTGGTGAAGGCTAATGAACTTCAAAAGAGTTACCAAGTGTTTGATCTTATTCGTGAAGGTGTTTCTCCGGATGTTTACTCGTTTACTACCGCGATTAACGCATTTTGTAAGGGAGGGAGAATTGAAGATGCCATTAGTTTGTTCTTGACAATGGAGGAGGTGGGTGTTTTGCCGAATGTTGTTACCTATAATAACCTGATTGATGGGTTGTGCAAGAGTGGAAGATTAGAAGAAGCATTTTGGTTTAAGCAAAAGATGGTTGAAAGCAAAGTGAATCCGAGTCTCGTAACATATAGTGTGCTTATCAATGGTTTGATGAAGTCAGAGAAATTTGATGAGGCAAATCGCGTTTTGTTAGAAATGTACAGCAAGGGGTTTGCCCCGAATGAGATTGTTTATAATGCACTGATTGATGGGTACTGCAGGAAGGGGAATATGAGTGAGGCACTAAGGATGAGGGATGACATGTTCTTAAAGGGCATGAAACCCAATGCTGTTACTTTTAATACTCTTTTACAAGGTTTTTGCAGGAGCAATCAAATGGAGCAAGCTGAGCATGTATTGTTGTACTTACTATCAAGTGGATTATCTGTTAACCAGGATGCATGTTGTTATGTGCTTCACTGGTTATGCAATAAATCCAGGTTTGATTCAGCCTTAAAAATTGTTAGAGATTTGTTGTTGAGGAACATCAAGGCTAGTGATAGCTTGCTAACTCCATTGGTCTGCGGTCTTTGTAAATGTGAAAAGCATTCAGAGGCAATTGAACTTTGGTTTGCCCTAGCAGATAAAGGACTTGCAGCCAATACAGTGACCTCAAATGCTCTTCTCCATGGACTTTGTGAACAAGGGAACATGGAAGAGGTTGTCATAGTACTCAAACAAATGCTTGAGAGAGGTTTGTTACTGGATAGGATCTCATACAACACGCTTATTTATGGCTGTTGTAAATGGGGTAAAATTGAGGAAGCTTTCAAGCTTAAGGAAGAGATGGTTAAGCAAGAATTCCAACCAGATATGTATACCTACAATTTCCTAATGAAGGGGTTGGCTGATATGGGTAAAATAGATGATGTTAATAAGCTTTTGCATGAAGCTAAAGAACATGGCCTGGTTCCAAATGTCTATACATATGCACTTATGTTAGAAGGATATTGTAAAACTGATCGGATTGAAGACGCTGTAAACTTGTTCAACAAGTTAGTATATGAGAAAGTAGAGCTAAGTCCTGTTATTTATAACATACTCATTGCAGCTTATGGTAGAGTTGGAAATGTGATTGAAGCCGTAAAACTCCGTGATGCTATGAAAAGTAGGGACATTCCACCAACCTGTGCTACATACTCATCTTTAATACATGGAATGTGCTGTGTTGGCCGTGTTGATGAAGCAAAGGAACTTTTTGAAGAAATGAGAAATGAAGGCTTGTTGCCAAATGTTTTTTGTTATACTGCTCTGATTGGTGGTTACTGTAAGTTAGGTCAGATGGCTGAAGTGAGGAGTATCTTATTGGAAATGTCTTCAAACAGTATACAACCTAATAAAATTACCTACACTATTATGATTGATGGGTATTGTAAATTGGGCAATATGAAAGAAGCAACTAAGCTATTAAATGAGATGATAACAAATGGAATAATTCCAGATACCGTCACTTATAATGCATTGCATTGCAAGGAAAGGAAGCTCGAAGAAGCTTTACAATATGATCATATGTCAAACACAGGAGTACCCTCAGAAGAAATTACGTATAGCACATTGATTCACAAGTTGCATCCACATACAGTCCTTAGCAATGAAGAATAATGAGGAAACCTCTTAAAGTTTAGATGCTTAATTGAATCCAGGTCTCTTTTGGTTGAGACTTTGGCTTGATTCTAAGCTCATTATTCGGAAGATGAAGGTTTGATATGCTTGATCTCTAGACATGTAGATTACTGGGAACAACTAAAGCAGCATACTCTTAGCATGGCTTCCTACTTGAAAAATGAGCCTTGGATTTCAGAGGTTAGTCATTTGAGATTAAATTGTGTAGTTAATTGCTTTGCATTGTATTTGTTCATATTGCTTTTCTTTTCCTTTGTTTTGAATTTTGAAAAAATAAATTGATAATGGTTTTATAGGATGATGGCTTTTTATGCATTTGTTCCATATTCAAATATTTTCATTTGGTGTAATCAATACAAAATGAATAGGATTTATCTGCAATATTTTAGGGTTGATTATGTATTTTTTATTTTTGGTAATTTCGGGATTCTATCTTATTTTTAACAAGTTATTGATTTTAGGAAATTAGTGTGTAATTGGAAGTGGACTAGATTTTGACCACCCTTGGGTTATAAATATGATAGGTTCTGATTTGACAGTGAAAATTAGAAGGAAATACAGGTAGGAGCAAGCTCCAATTACTGTATTATAAACATGGAATGTAGAAAGAGGATGAAAACAGGACAGATAAATAGAGAATATCAGAGAAGCAATATGCTATCCTATATCTTCCCTATGGCTACGGCAATCCAAAATCACCCAAATGAATTTGATATGCCTCCCCCGACACGCTCCATTCTCTTTATATTCTGTTAAGACTGGATCAGATAATAACAGAAAAAGAAAGAAATAAAGGATTTTGGCCCAGATAAATTTGGATTTTCTGTATTTATGTATGAAACATTTTGCACCTATGAGTATAAAAGCAAGTAATTACAGAACAATTACTACAGCAAATTGCTACAGATTACAGAAAAGGAAGAAGAGCTACGAATACCAGAAATGCAGCACATTTGAGAGGTGCAGCGCTCTCCCAAGTCCAGTCCCAAATCCTGCCTCCCTCCCTTCACGTATCTTCTGCCTTTTAACCACTTAGCTCTCTTCTACTGCCACCTCAGCACTTCTAACAGAATTGGAGTTTCCCTCAAACAACCCAAACTCTAGAATATTCCCTTTTTCAGCTGAGTTATCACCTCTAAATAATTCCATGTGGCGTTTCCTATAGTACACTTTTAAGGGGATTCTATCAATACACTCCCCCCCCGCCCAAAAAAAAAAAAAAACACTCACCTTGTCCTCAAGGTGTGGTTCAGCATTCAAGAACCTTCCACCAGATCCCATTGCTTGAAATGTAAAGACCATTGATGCCTGAAGAATAAGAACTTCTTCCACCATCACTTAAAGCCATACAAGCATTGTTTATACACTTTCTCTTAAGCGACAGTACGAGTACAGGGACAATCATGATTTAGTGCAGAGCTAAAAATATGACAGTACCCATTCAATACTTCATTACAAGCCTCCATTACATAATAGATTTTCCCTGCATCCATCAAATAAAACAGCCCTTGTGCTCTGTTTTCATTACCATACTGCAAAACTGTCTTTGTCAGCGAGATTTCAAGGATCACAGCCATATAAATTCCATTGTTAATGACAAAGCCATACACCCAGCACCCCAAATTGAGTGGTTTCAATTTCCAACATCACACCCGTAAAAGTGATGGAATCAGAATCATTCCCCTGCTCACCCATCCTACCAAATAGCCCCCATGCTTCTTTTTTAAACTCTTTCTGTTTGTAACCAAAGATCCTCAAATTTTCGTAACCAATTTTGTTCCTACTACGGTCAGGATCACCATCCTTTTCATGTTCATAATTTTGACCATGAATAATTTTGGTTTTGGCTTGAATCTCGTTAGAGTGTGTGTAAGTTGAAGCGTAGAGGAGTACACTAGTCTCATTGAAATTAAAGGGAATGAACGATGGTGTGTAGGCTGAAATTTGTGCTCATAAGCCCATCCTCCAAATAAAACACAATTATCATTAGTTTGAGTTGAAAACATTTTGGGATTAAATTGGCCCTCACCTATGGGGTCAACAACTTGACCCAAAGTCCGTAAGGTCCTTCTTGACCTAGTGCATTCCTCTTCCACCTTCCCATGCAGCTGCTGACTCCATTCCTGGCTGTGCTTAGAGAATCCCTCTTCCTCTTTAAGAAAGTTCAAGTTCGGTGATTTTGGTAACTGAGGTGGGTTGGCCACCTCTGCCATTGGCTGTGGCGTCTCACGTGTTCGCACAGCCTTAGTCAGCATCTCCATCTTCATGGGCTCTTTTCTCTGTTCTTTTACTGCAATCCTCTGTTTTGTCGGCTCCTTTTTGGCATAACAGTGAAGCTGGTCTTCATCTATTATTACGATTTCTTCTCATTTTTTTTTCTTTTTCTGGGTATCTACCTTCTCCTCTACAATCTCATTTTTCTTCATAAACAGCCTATGTCCTCTGCTCCCCTTTTACCATCTCCGTCTTCTCGTTTCCTTCCGTAATTTTTGTCTTCTCCAAAATCAATCCAGTTTGCATTTCGGGTACTAGTTTTGAGCGTCCAGTTTTGCATCATCCTCTTCCAAGCTAATCTCAGGTAGGTATTTCTGTACAAACGCCTTAATAAAGCTACACCAACTTGCTTTAGAATTTGGCCAACTCCAACATTTATACCATCTGAGCGCAAGTCCTCTAAGCCCCTTCACCGCCTCTATTAACTTTTGTTCTTCATGTGTTTTTTCTGCCTGGAAAAATTCCTCAAGATCGATTAGTCATCCCCAAGTTTCATAACCTTCTCCATAGAATTTGGGAATTTCGCTTCTAAATAATTTTTTTATAAGCATGCCCATGGTTCAAAGCTACCCAGATCGGATAGCTCTGTTACCAATTGTTAAGACTGGATCAGATAATAACAGAAAAAGAAAGAAACAAAGGATTTTGTCCCAGATAAATCTGGATTTTCTGTATTTATGTAAGAAACAGTTTGCTCCTATGAGTCGTACTTATTAGTCTCGGATAGCATTGCGTAGCGGATGACCCTCCAAACTGCTATAGCGCTATAGCGGGTAGCACTACAATGCTACTGTGCAAAGTGTACCTAAGTGATACACTAAATTGTACTCCACAAATAAAACTTAAAATATGAAAATGTGACATAAATTTTTTTTTGAAGGATCTCTTGTCTTCGCTCAACACGCTCTCTTCCTTCTACGACGAGAACACTTTTGCAGAAATTACTGTAGCGGCGCAATAGTGCTGCGATTCAGCAACAATAACGGCCGCTACATTTGTTACACTTTACTTGACCGTTGCGGCGCGGTCTATGACGGCCGGCCGCTGCACGGCAACGCAACTCCGCTATAGCGTGCTAAAGCAGCGCTACTCACAAGTATGCTATTAGTATGAAAGCAAGTAATTACAGAACAATTACTACAGCAAATTGCTACAGATTACAGAAAAAGAAGAAGATCTAGGAATAACAGAAATGCAGCACATTCGAGAGGTGCAGCTCTCTCCCAAGTCCAGTCCCAAATCCAGCCTCCCTCCCTTCATTTATCTGCTGCCTTTTAACCACTTAGCTCCCTTCTACTGCCACCTCAGCACTTCTAACAGAATTGGAGTTTCCCTCCAACAACCCAAACTCTAGAATATTCCCTTTTTCAGCTGCGTTTCCTATAGTACAATTTTAATGGGATTGTATCATATTCACTCTCCCTTCCATGATTGTTGCATCCTCTTCACCAATTCCATGCTGCCAAGTGTTCATTCTATGAGAGCCACCTTTCTCTTGCATAACAACCTCCTCCCGTACACATCCGAGCTCATTCCCCATTCTACCCTTATGCCCCTTCTCCTTTCTACGGTATACATGAATTGGAGGCTGAGAAGCCCATGATTTAGAGGCCCATCAAAATTCTTTTTTTTGTGCCTTGTGTTATTCATGCTTTTTATTGCTGATTGATTAAAGCGATTAATGTGTGTTTTTGTGTAAATCCAAAGGATTCTTTGTCCTCATTAACACTCCCATCAGAGGCTTTAATTTTGTTCACCATCATGCTTTCTGGATGCTAGAATCTTTTCCAAATTCTGTTTTGCATCTTTTTCTTTATTGAAAAGATCTATTAGAGTAATAATAATTACTCCAGTAATTTGATTATTTTGCCATCAGTACTATTCTGATTATTTTACATGATTATGCTCTTTTCTCTGCCAGTCTTGATGGAAGACTTTGAACTGCTGTTGTCTGGTGTGTTTTCTTTTACTACTTTCTTTGTATTTTGAATTCATTTTATTTATCATCAGGGATTACTTAATAAACCCATATGGAAGTCCAAAGCTCCTTTTATAGTCAAGTCCTTTATCTGGACAGTGATACTTGTAGGGTCAATGCTAATGACTTGTTGCAAGTTTGTAGGTGTCACAGTGGTCTTTTGCCTTGTGTGTTTGTAGCTCTAGTTCAGAAACAGTAGGACACTAGATCTTGCATTTGAAGTTGGCTACTTTCTCTGGAACAATTTTTTTGGGGATTCTAGTGGCGATGGTTGTGTCCTCATGATTAGATATAAAGGCGGAATGCTCATGCATTTAAGGGTGTCTCTCTGCCCTTCAATTTCCTGTAGGATAAGATTATGTTTATGGCCTCTATTGTTTTCTGCAAATGGCTGTTTCAAAGCAATTGCCATTTCCTATATGCATAGAGTTTGGGACTCTCTACTGCATTCTTGATCTTTTCTGGCTCTCTGGGTATTTATAATTTTATTTACTCCCCTTTTTCTTTAATAAAATTTCTTTTACTATCCAAAAGAGAAATCGTTAGCATAGTGCCGCATACTGCTTTTTCTTGACATTTATTTAGTTTTACAAAATAAGATTTATTTAATATTTGATTTTCTTTTGTTGGTGATCCAATTGATATTTGTTGTCGAAGCAGGGATTTAGTTGCTGCTTAACCATGTGCCATGTTACAGTCTTCTATGCTCTATCAAATTTGGGGGGGGGGGACTTGATTACTAATTTCTGTGATTAATAGATTTATTGCTGTTAAGCCAGATCCCAAACTACTCATGCAGGCATGATTTGAACAAGTGAAGAGTGATTTAGTCAAGCATCAAATGGATAACTTATCCATCTTCTTTTCCATTTGTTGTCCGGTGAGGATCTGATGATTGGATATTTTTCCTCATTCAACCGTTCAATCTTGTGATTTATGAGCCTTTGGTGTTCTTGTGTTAGATATAGTATATTTTCCTTTTGCTTCCAGTAACCTCTGTCATATGGTCTCAGGGCATTGCATGGACGCCAGATCTCTGGAATATTGGAGACAGCATTAAAAATTTGATGAAGCTAACATGGATGTTAAAGTAAATACAGTACAGTTATTAGATCTTAGCAGATCAAGGAAGAGAATCAATCACTTCTCAGATATGATGTTATAGCATAAAGCTGAGGAAGCAAAAAGTTCAATCTGTAAAATGGTAACTGAACCCTTATTTGTTTTTTAATTTTAACTGCAATTTTATATGCTTTGTTGTCTTTCCCAACCCGTTCCCCAACAACTCCCCAAGTTACAGAGAGAAAATAATGAGAAATTCAACAAGCAGGTATGGGTCTCCACCAAAGGATTTTATGGCACTTAGGGCAGGAGGGGAACTTGATGTAGAGAAAGCCACAGTAATAAAGCTGAGCCTATTTGAAGTATTTGCAAGACAAATGTACACACTTTCTGTCTTGAATGTGTGAATTGTGTGGGCAATCTCCCGCCGGTTTTGATGTATTGGATCCTATGTAGTTATATATTCATATTAATTTCTATAGGTATGTGCTGGTGGCAAGAGAACTTGGTAGATTTCCAAGCTTCTAGGTTGCTCTGCATTTACGGAGCATTTAATTATTGTCATTGGTACTTACCATTTGGAAGTGGCTCTGAATGTAGGCTCTGGATAGAGTTGTAAGATACAGAAGTTTCTGAATTTAATGTACATGCCTGGCCAATGACCTCTATTTTCCTGTCTTCATGGTCCCCATCTTCGCCCTTTTTGAAGGACTCCGGAAGAATTCTAAAAAAGGAAAAAAAAAAAAAAAAAGGCAGATAGAACTAGTGGAAAGATGAAAGGGGAGCCTCCATCTAGATTGTAGTTTCCTTGTTTCAATATGGCTTGTTTAGAAGAAAAAAATGTAGATAAATTGATCTGCATCTTTGTTCTGGGCAATGGGTCCTTACTTTCTACTGCTGGCATTTGGTTACTTCATTAAGTTTATCTGTTAAATGAACATAAACGGAGGTTCTTTGACGGATATTCTATGTATCATCATAATTTGAAAATTATTTTAAAATTAGAGCGTCTACCTTGTTTTGGTTTTCCATGATTTGGAGAATATGAAATTTTTTGATCAAACGAGTCAAAGGTCTTTGCTTCCCCATATCCTGTTAGTTTTCCACTCGATAATACTTTTACCGGTGCTCCAAAACTATGAATAAGAGCTATTGCTAGTTGATATGGTCCTATCCATGTGGGATTATATAGGCCCAATTAGTTAAAGGCCCATAAGGCCGAAGGATTATTACTTAATGAGGAAGAAAATGTGGCCATATCGTGTATTTTGTCGATCGTGCAATCTCCTGACGCAAGGGGTTAGTTGCTCAGTTAATTGTGGCCACATGACATCAGCTACTTAGAGCATTACTACCCCCCCTTAAAACCAATGGCCAGACACATGCTTGCCACCATATCTACAAGACTTAGCTTGACTATAGGCATCCTGTTCTGGGATTAGCGTGCAAGACTACCATTGCATCCAATAAGAATGAATATTGCCATACCGAGGCAGCATAACCAAGATACTCATATACTATAAATACAGAGGTGCTAAGCCTAGGTATGATCATCTTCCCATCAATACCCATAACACCTTGAATATCTACTGACTTGAGCATCATAGTACCTTGTAGGTACCTCCCCTCAGTCTCTTCAAACTGCCCCAAAATATTTGTTCCAACCCAGAAATCTCGTGAAGCATCTTGCCAGTCAGCCAAACATCTCGTAGCAGTGTACCAGCCAAATCGCATAGTCCTACGTTGCAGGCTCAACAGTGTGTGATCTAGCCCAATAGCAATTGGATTGATCATTGGCGTCGTCTGTGGGGAACGATAAATTTTGACTCCCACACCAAACAAATAAAAGCATGGTTGACACCAGAAGCCGGATAACAAAATTCCAAAACTGTCCCAAAATGTCTACTCCAGCCCAAACATCTCGCGAAGCATCCCACTAGCCAACCAGCCAAACTTCTCGCAACAGTGTACCAGCCAAAGCCCACAGTCTTATGTTGTAAACTCAACCGTGTGTGATCTAACCAAATAGCAATTGGACTAATCACTAGTTATTGTATATTTGTGGGACTTGTTATATGCTTGTTTACGATGTTTAAAAAAAATTGACTTCATAGTTTCATTTCCAAATGGCTCTGTATATGGCGTGGAAATATTATTATAATTTCGGAAACCAACTAGAGAAGCTATGAGGAATAATACAAACAAGCATGTGTAAGGGTGTACACAAGTTGTTTTGTTTTGGATTTGGAATTAAAAAAACCCGAACTAATCCAAAATTTTAAAAACATTTTGGTTTGTTTCATAGATAGGTGTTTTGGGCTCCACAATGTGGCTTAGTATTGATCGTTCGTATCATCCATGGATGTTGATAAGATCTTCTAATTTAACAACATCTTAGCCTTCTAGTGAAGGGCGAGGCTTGAATGAGAAAAGGCTTATGGTGGATACCTAGGCACTCAAAGATAAGGATTAGTGTAGTAAGTGATGAAATGCTTCGGGGAGTTAAAACTAAGTGTATATTCGAGGATTCCTAAATAGGTCAACCTTTCAAATTGCTACTAAATCCATGGGTAGACAAGAGACAACCTGGTGAATTGAAACACCAATGACAAAACTCTTGAAGGGCATCAATCACTTCGCTCTATGGAACCATTACCCTAAACCGCCCAAAATAAGGTCTCACATGCTACAAATATGAATTATGGGCCATTGGATAGGAATAAAGTGTTCATTTGGTTGGAGTATTCAGATTGTCGGGGCAGCTCAGCTACCCCTTCACAGGGAGGTTATGGCAGCCTCAATTCCCAAGGGGTTCAAGCTCCCAAATAACATAGAGTTATACAAAACTAAAGGAGACCCCCAAGAACAACTAGGCATGTTCCAAGTAGCCAAGCTTTTGGGAGGAGTAACCTATCCATTTATATATCGAGTTGTCTCATCAACCCTAATGGCCCTACCCTACAATGGTTCTCATCGTTTCCTCCAAAATAGGTTGACTAATTTGCCAATTTGGTTGACAAGTTCTTATAGAACTTTACGGGCCCAACCGAGGTTATCCCACATAGAGTTGGTAAAACAAGTCTAAGCTATTAGGTAAAACTGTTTAATCTCGCCTATTTTGGCAGGTTAGGTTCTAATTTTGGACTAGTCAATCTACCACAACCAGCCTTGTATAAGGGGAGGTTAAAATGGGTTGGGTGCGTGTTAGAGCAAGTTGACCTACTAAAGTTAACTCTTTCATTTACCTTTTAATTTTTTACAAGATACTTCTTTGGAGTCTATACCACAACATATTTAATTTTTTCTTTAACAAACATAATCTTGGATTATAAAATAGAAATCACCACTTTAGTATTGAATTATTGAAATATAACGACAACAACAAATACATTAAAATTTTAAATTTTAAAATTGACGTGCAGAATTATACTTCTGAAATTAATTATTATACGTTTAATTCTATTTTATTTAAAATTAATTTATTTTAATATTTAGGTGGGTTGACCTATCAACCTGTCACAAAATATGATGGGTTGGTAATTTAGACCTATTTATAAATGGCAGGTCAACCCGTCCCACCTCATTTTTGGTGGGTTAATGGTGGGTCAGCCTCTATTGTCATTGCTAGTCCCATACACTCTTATGGATAAGATAGAAGTAAGAAGAACCCCTTCGAGATTATGTTATTAGGTTTAAAAGGGAGGCACTACTAGTCAATGACTTAGATCCCAACATCATCTTACACCTACTTGTTATTGGGTTCCAATCAAGACAATTCAAGCCACATTTTGAGGTAATAAAGACTCAGAAAGAAGGTTGACTAAGGGAAGGTACAGTGGTTTTATCCCCTCAATATATCTAGGTCCCAAATCCTTTAAGAGATTGCGACCATCTAGTTTTGGGGAGTGAAACGCCCATCCCCACTGAAGAAAAATGTTTGGCTTGATTGATCTAAGCATTATTAATTACATGAAGACTTAATATGAAAAGGCCACCTTAAGCAATACATTCCTAAGCCACAAGCTGATGGATACCATGACGAAGGGAAATAAAGTCATAATCGCAATCCCCTCAAAAGAAGCTCCATAATACATACAAACCCCGCTCGAGATGGAGAAATAAGATGAAAATGTTAACTTTTGTGGAGAATTTATGGTCCTTGTTCTTTGAAGATAATTAGTATTTTGTCAATTTTGAATTTGATTAAAGTGGTTGAAACCCATTCTTTCATTTTTTTTATGGGTAAAGCGTGTGTCATTTTAAAGGATGTAAAATTGTGTCATTTTAAGAGAGAGGAAGAGATAGATAAAAGAGGAGAGAGAGTTGACAAAAAAAATAAAGGTATGGGTCCCACCTCTTTGTGAGAGTGAAAGGATATAAGTTGTGTCATTTAAAAGGATAAACATTTTTCCCTTTTTTTATTTCAATGAATGTGTTTGATAGAACACGTACTTTATACAATTAATTCATATTATGATTTGTACACCATATTTTGATGACAATGGTTTGGTAACTAGAAGAAAATAACCAAAGGTAGAGTAAGTAATTAGAAAAATAATAATTAGAAGGAAAAGAGATAAGAGAGAAAGGTAGAGCAATAACTTCTTCTTTTATTGTAGTGTGTTCTGAAGCTTTGTATATGCATCTATTTATATGTTCTCAAGACAAGGTAGGTTACAATAGAATGAATGACCAGAATTACTCCTCTTTAGGAGTCAATTTAGGATTAAATATTTTGGGGGTTATGGACATTCAACAATTATATTATTTATAAAACTCCCACTTGGATGTCCAATAATGTATCTAGTTACAACATTAAAAAAATTCCTATTGGAAGGAAATAGTATACATTTTTAGTAATAAGTATTACAAGTTTCCTAATTAAAAATCTTACCAGAAAAATCCTATGGGACAAAACCTTAGTGAAGAAAAAAAAGTGCAACATGTATTACATTCCCCCTAATGATAACATTATTTAATATCTCTGAGTTTACGTATCTCAATCTTATAGACAAGCTTCTCAAAACTAGAAGTAGGTAATGCCTTGGTAAATAAATCTGTCAAATTATCACTTGAATGAATTTGTTAAATATCGATCTCACCATTTTGTTGTAGATTATGAGTGGAGAAGAATTTTGGTGAGATATGTTTCGTTCTATCTCCTTTGATGTATCCTTCCTTCAATTTAGCTATGTACGTATAACACCTCGTATATTTGAAATATATTATTAAATGCGTAATTGAGGGTTAGAGGGCTTATTATAGAAAATCCTGAGTTTTTAGTAAAAATACCCATTAGGGGCAAAAGGATAATTTGCCAAATATGAAACCTAGACTATGAAATATGAAATATGAAATCTGAACATAATTTGATGAAAATAATACTGGAAATGAGTCCAGAATGAAAATTTGAGTTGATAGGTGCGTTTTGAGAAATTTGATGAATATTGATTTTTACCAGATAAAATAATGCAGTATAATTACACCGGTAATTTCGAAAATGGAATTAACATTTTAGAAATTTAAAATATGTGGAGTTGGATAAAATTTATGGGTTGTAAATCTAGTGAGTTAAAATGGATGGTTTAAGTGAGTAAAGTGACTTATGGGACCCACCTTAAATGATTTAAGTGGCATTAAACATAGGAAATCAGATTTTTGAGCCATTCTCTCTCCTCTCTCTCCCTCACTCGCAACCTTCTCTCTCAAATCAGCCGAGGAAGCCATTTTTAGTGGCATTTGAAATCTTGAAACCATATCTTTATTTCTAGTCACTTTTAGGAAAAATCTTGAACTACAAAGTTGTTCCCCACCTCCTTGAGATTAACTTTTATGTTTAGTGCATCTTGTAGGGAGCATTGTGTGAAGAGATCTTTGGCCTCCAAACCCACAAAAATTTGAGAGAACTTGACCCTTGTGGGTTGTTTCAAGTCTTGGGGAGCTTGGAGATCACTCCCTTGAGTCTTAGGAAGCTATTAGTGGTAAGTATTCCAACTCTCATTGAGTTTTTCTAGAGATCATAAAATTGATGGATATTTGTGTATGTATTTGTGAGTTGGGGTATTTAAAGGCATTAAATGATGTGGCTCCTTTGTAAATAAATTCTTAGGATGATAAATGATGGTAATAGAGCCGATAAAAGTTATGGTGCTATATGACTTTGTAACTTAGTGAAAATTTGATGAAAATGTGGTTGAAATCATAAATGTGGTGGTTGGAAATGAATTGATGGTTACTGGATACATTAAATGTTGATTGTTGGAGGTATTAAATAAGAATGTGAATGGGAGATTGGAACAAGTGATTGAATGAGAATCCCCCTAGATTTTGGCAAGGTACGTATCGACCCGATGGGTGTATTTTGAGGGAAATTGGGTTGGTTGTCTTGTTATGGTGGTTGTGTAGTTGTATCAAATTGTTGATGAACAATGTTGTGTGATCATTATAGGTTACCTCACCCGGATTCAATAGAAGTGGACTAAGCTTAGAGCTTGACTTTGGAGAGCTTGCATGAGGGAGTTCTCTTTGAGGTAAACTTCTGTTGTCCTGGGGTTAATCCCTTTGTATGTTCCACCTTGCCCAAATTGGGGATAATGGTTGGATGTGTACTTTTTGATAATATGTGATAGAGTATGTTCATGCATTATTGACATGTTGATCGACATGCGTGTGGAATGTGTGTGATATTCTGTCTGTGATCTCTGGCCAACAGATAGTTTGGTTTGGACTTCTGCTGGAAATAGTCTTCTTTGAGGAGCTCCGGTCAGGTGTTGCCGTGGGGCCGTCTTTGGGAGCGGTACCAGAATGATCCAAACCGGGACTTCAGCTGGATAGGTCTTCGTAGGGAGTTCCAGTCGGGTTTTGTCGTGGAGTCGTCTCAACCATCGTAGAGGCACCAGGAAGGTTCCTGAGAGTTATATGATGAGGTCCTTGAACGGAATCCTCATGTGCATGTTCTTGGATGTGTGCCCAGTTGTGATGTAATATTGCATGTTATACTGCTCATATGTTTATCATTGCATGCACATTGAATGAGCTAGTGGGTGGAGTAATCATCCATGACCCTCGGTTTACTGAGATATATATGTATATCTCACCCCACATTTGGGGCACCATTTCAGGTACTACTGATCAGGTTGGAGCTTCGGGCAAGAGGCCTGCTTAGAGGCTATGATGGATATATGATGTGCATATAGATCACTTGGTATTTTGGAGAGGATAACATATGATGCACATACTAGCATTTACTTTGTATCTCGGACTTAGGATATGAACACTGGATTGCTTAAGATTGTAATTGCCATGCTTTGGTTGTTCATATGTTGTTCTAAGTCATTTGATCTTAGTTTGTATTTTGGTATATGGAATTGTATATGTCTCATATTGTTATTTTCAGTATTGGTGAGCATGGGGGATGTCCATGCCACTTGGTATTAATTGAGGCATTGATGTTGTAAACGAATATATTTTGAAAATTCATATGATGGAAGGGTCAATGACCTATTAGATAATGTGCTATGCGGAGATAGATAGCTAGATATTATATGATGTAAGTTTGTCTATCAGGTCCTATGGTGACATGATAATTAATCACATAATAATTTTATAACAGTTGGTTTGCGGCATTCAACAAATGAATTATTCTTGGAACTTCAAGTTCATTTTGATTTGTGTGTATATGTACAGCAGTCAATATTGGTATGTTCCAACATATTTGTTTCAATATATTTCTTGTGCTTTTAACAATTTATCTTTTTCTTCCCATAATAACGGGGAAACCATTAATTGATGGAAAATCAATACTAATTCTAAAATGACTTTATGAACCTATGTTAGTAACTTCAATACAATATAACATATTTTTTCTAGATGAGATATTGTTACGATATCATGATGGGCCCAAAAGGATGTTACTGTCATTAGCCTTTAGTACAAGTAGTGGAGTATCAACCCATGTTGGGTATCAGATAGCCATTAGGCCATAGGAGTGTACTGGTTTATTCATTAGTCAGTTAGTAGTGCTGGTGTTATAGTGCTGGTGTGAGTCATGCCATGGTGAATATGTGTCTTAGTTTGTTAGAATGTTGTTAGGATATGTGGCTTATATGAAGGGATAGGTGTCATTGTGCAAACTACCTGAATATACAAGAACTCAATTTTCGATTGTTTTTCTCTGAATTCCCCCTTTCTTTCTTGTTCTTTACTGTGAGATACCGATTAGGATCCACAATCCTAACATTGGTGCTTTCATCTTGATGAGCTCGTCTTCGTTCTTCACGATGCCAGATGGAATTGCAACACCTTCCATTACAACACTCTACAAAAATCTTGTTGTATCTATTACAAATTTGGCAAAGTTGAGCACTGAGATGCACGCTGACTTTGCAAGATTAAGAACCGAGTTGCGCGCCGATTTCGCCAAGATGAGTGTCAATTTTGCAAAGGCTAGTTCCATAGCTCCCCTCCTTGTAACAGCTCCTTCAATTTCGCAGTCCCCAAGGCCCAGATCAGGTCAGCGCTGCAAGGCTTCTGGGAACAAGCGTTCCTTGTCGAGGAAAGAAGTGAACCAGTCCCATTCGAAAGTTTGCAACTCGATGAAGAAAGGTTTTGTGCAGTTTTTGCAGATGTTGAAACCCAAATTTGGGGGAATCTTCAACGCTCCCTTGCTGTCCAGTCTTGCCAAGAATGGGTATGCCAGACACATGTTTGATGAAATGCCTAGCCTAAATACAAGGTCTTGGTCCATGATGCTATCTGACGCTTTGTTCTATTGGGACCCAGGAGACCAAAATTGGATCGTTGCCTTTGCGTCTGTTCTACTGGAGATTGCAGGTTTGGTCCCTTTTGTGGGTGAAAACTATTCCCTCAAGCTGAAACAGTCAATGCAAACCCTTTTGGCTGAGATTCCCAAAGAATCCTCGGATTTTTCTCTTTTCGTCGATGCATTTCATGAATTGATGGAAGCTAAGGTTGATCCACCCTTTGAGGTGATATGGGTCTATGCTGCAATCAACTTTCGCAGCCATAATTTGGAAAAAGGTGATGCCTTGGATCGAATACTGGCCGCAAAAGACTTGTTTCAGATGCTATCTGCATGTTCAGCCTCGGTTGCTTCAAAGAGCATTACTTTACTGGTTCCTGTTGTTTTTGTGGTGCATAGAGTGCTTCTGGAACTATTTGGAAGTGAATTGAGATTGAAGAAAGAGAAGAAAGAAATGAGGGAGGTGCAGTCTTTGGTAGATACAGCTCTTGGGTATATAAGCGTTTGTTGTAGTAAGATTTCTGAGGAGGAACCTGATTCCGTTAGTTTGAATTTGACTTTTCCTTTCCCAGATTTGGCTCGTGTTTGGGTGGATAATGTTGATGGCATTGAATCTTTGTTGCCTCTTTTGAGCTATGATGTTTGTGGCTGGCTTAGTTCTAGAGATTTTCATGTTGGTTACTTGGCTGGTGCCATCATCATGGATGTTTTTTTCTTGAAACTGTGCCTGTCTTTACATCTGGCAACGCCAAGGGATGAATTGGAAAAGAATATGAAGAGTTGGGCTGTTGGCTCAATACTAGCTTTCAGAACATATATTTTTTGGAGATCATTATGAGGGAAAAGAATTGGGTGCCTCTGCGAGTAGTGTTTGTGCTGATCAATCTTGTCTGCTTCTACAATTTCTTCTCAAGGACTGATGTAAATGGGAATAATCCTGCATGGAAAGCAATGGGGTACAAAGTGGACACAAGGGAAAAGTTCAAACGAAAGGAAAGGCTTCTTCAAGAGGAATTAATAGAGACTATGCACGAAACTGATTCTACTTTAGTCCAATCCCTCACTGAGAAAGGCCTTGAAGTCACTGAAGATGTAAAGCAGAACATGTACAAGGTCAAATGTGATGTTGCCATTGTCGGTTCTGGTTGTGGTGGAGGAGTTGCAGCTGCAGTTCTTGCAAACTATGGTCAGAAAGTAATAGTACTAGAGAAAGGAGAATATTTTGTTGCCAATGATTATTCTTCTTTACATAGTCCATGCATGACTGCGCAATATGAATCAGGTGGACTTATGCCAAGTCTTGAGGGGAAGTTGATGATTTTGGCTAGCTGAACAGTGGGTGGAGGTTTTGCATTTGCTGGTCACCAACAAGCTGTACAGGATAGAGACCACAAGTTCCTAACAAAAGTGGTCGAAGAAGCTTATAAAGGAGTTGAATGTGGTGATGGAGGCCCATTTGGTGCGGTTGTTGTTCGAAATGATGAAGTAGTTGTAAGCTGTCATAACATGGTTTTCAGAAACACTGATCCCACAGCTCATGCTGAGGATACTGCTATAAGAGAGGCTTGTCAAAAGCTAAATCAAATTGAGCTCTCAGACTGTGAAATCTATGCATCTTGTGAGCCTTGTCCAACGTGCTTTGGTGCAATTTATCTTTTAAGAATTAAGAGATTGGTTTATGGAGCTAAAGTAGAGGCTGCAATAGCAATTGGATTTGATGATTTTATTGCCGATGCACCCTTTGGAGATGTTACTGTCACATTGTTTCTGGGTCAGGATAGCCAGCAACCAATATTCTCTGGACAACAGAAGTTATTTTTTGAGCATGAAACTCACTTCACTGTTATGAATTATCGTGGAAGCATAAATCACAAGAATATGAAGGATTTTGTGAGGGAATTTGGAACTGTCATGGTAACCACTTTAGTATCCATGCTCCTCCCATTTTTCAATGACATACTTAAGGATTTCTACTCTCTATTTTTTCATTGGACCTTAAGGACAAGGTCCGTTCTTTAGGGGAAGACAATGTTACAATATCATGATGGGCCCAAGAGGATGTTACTGTCATTAGCCTTTAGTGCAAGTAGTGGAGTATCAGCCCATGTTGGGTATCAGATAGCCATTAGGCCATAAGAGTGTACTGGTTTATTCATTAGTCAGTTAGTAGTGCTGGTGTTATAGTGCTGGTGTGAGTCATGCCATGGTGCTTACGTGTCTTAGTTTGTTAGAATGTTGTTAGGATATCTGGCTTATATGAAGGGATAGGTGTCATTGTGCAAACTACCCGAATATACAAGAACTCAATTTTCGATTATTTTTCTCTGAATTTCCCCTTTCTTTCTTGTTCTTTACTGTGAGATACCGATTAGGATCCGCTATCCTAACAGATATATTAGTTTGTTGGTCAAACATAATTTATTAAAGCGAAAAATTCTGATATGCACATCATCAGATACAAATAAAAATTGCAATATATATTATATCATATTCCCAAATTGATGTAAGCTTTGATCTCATAAGCATAATCTATATATAAATTTTAAACAATCAATGAAAATTTCAACGTAACTATTTTGATAATAAACGTATTGAATGAAATGTTCAATATTAATTTATATTAACATGCAATAATCATAAAATGTTTTTGAAGTAAATTACATGTTTAATCTAGATGAGTAGTCTTGACATGATGATCACTAAAGATATAGTGTTACTTTAAATAGTTGGATTGATGTGTTCTCCATATGTATTCAACTATATTTTTAACTAACGATATCTTACAATTAATTTGCATTGACAACATTTAACACATAAAATTTCTTATTATGAAGAATCTCTTAATTCTTAAATAGATATCCATTTAAGCTACCAATATTAGAGTAAGATTGCCTACCTAATAACATGTCAAATAATAAAATAGTTTCATCTAGTAAAATTCTAATTTACAAGAACATAACAAACTTTAAGTTACAATAACATTATTAATATCTTTTAATATGACACATATCTACTTTGAACAATAATTATTTTTTTAGTTTAAAAGTATATAGGATATTTTTTTGTGCATGAGATTTTTTTACTATATAACTAGCTCTTTTAAATCCTTCAAACATATATCCTAATTTGTCTTTAATCTCTATATATGAAAATGAATATATTGTCTTGAATTAATAAACAAAAATATCCTAAATAATAAATGATATATATATATATATAATGCACTTAAAATAACACAAACTAATTCAGAAATGTTAAATGCATATAAATCAAACATATATGAAATATAAGTTTAAATTACTAACCTTTTTCCTTTCACCAATCAAATATTTTGTCAATCAAGATGTTCAAAGAAAACAAATATAAACAAGTGTATCTTATTGATAATGCCAATGTTAAATGAATAATTACCATAAGCAACACTTTACCATGTAATAGATACATGTACAATGTCATTTTTTTAAGCACTATAATGATAATATGTATCAAAATTCTTACTTTACCCAGTATCTTTCTTATTATTATCACACTCGAATGGTATGATCTCCCATACCAAGGGGTAATTTTTTTATCAACGAACTTCTGGTTAGTAAATTATTAATTTCTATCAAATTTATGTATGTAAAATACAATTTAGAAGAAAAGGCTTCCACTATTTCCATACCTTTTTATGACAAGGCCTAAAAGATGTAATGTGAGATATTCAATATTATTCTCATTCATGATCTTTATGCGCAATGGAGATATTGTGCATTTCATAAGGCCTGTATGTTTTGTGTAACACCCTGTGTATACCCGGTTTGTTAACATGTCATCGTATTAAGCCACGCTTAATTAAAATTGCGGAATATCTTTTACTTTTCAATTATGACGTCATTATCAATTACCAAGTTGATTATTAAAATCACTTTCAAAATATTGCATGTATGTAAATGAAAATAGACAACTAGCTACACTGAATAACCTCAATATATAAGTAAAGGTGAGTATCTAAGTCACAGATCTACAACACGCAGTCCGGACAATAATCCTGATACATAAAATACGACTCGAATCCAAAACAGACATAGACAAATCAATGTGGCATGGACAAACCCCATGCTCAACAAATAAGGAAACAAAGCCCAACAACAGTCTCAACAATAATAACATAAAGATAGACATAACAGCACCCAAGCATCACAGTAAAACCAACAATATCTAACTCAGCTCTAGCCTCCTGCCGCCCAAGGTCTCAACCCCCGAGTTACCTGAACCTGAAATATGTGCCCCAAACGTGGGGTGAGATCTCTAAACAGAAATCTCAGTAAGGCAAGGAGTGCACAAAGATTTCTCCACCCCAAGCTCACTTACATGTGCAATATAAGTTCAAAAGCAGTAATATCATATAAGTTCCAAAATCAGTGCAATGCAGCATATCATCATGTCATGTGTGTTAACAATTCTACTGATCAGAGGAAGCGTAGGTTGTACGTACGTCTACAACCCACAATAGTATACGCCAATGCAATACCTGCCCACAGGAACTTAATCCCATCTACGAGAACACCACAATACATATCATAGGCACTTGCACTTAACATCTCTAAAGCATTTCAATAAATCAATACATGAAAAACACATCATGCATATAAACCATCCCCTCATGGGGTACGGTGGAACCAACAATGGCTAAACCGAGGACACGAAAGGTTACCTTGCAAGCTAACTATCCAAGCCAAGAGTCCACACAAGCTCAAAGTCTACAAACAGCAAGACCACAATTTGTTTTAGACCAACAATCATAACAATATTTATACTCTACAAGCATAAGACATAAAGACAACGCCTTTCCTTTACGTTTCATGTCTTTAGGCTTCTCAGAAAGCCTTAAGCCCTTAATCACTTTGATTCTGACTTAGTTTAATTATTACATAAGTCCACAATGACCAATCATGGGTCCGCAAACCCAAAATGTCCTTCTGTATGAATAGTACCCTTACTGTCCTCGAAAACCCAAAATATCCAAATATATGTCGGGGCCATATCCGGATATCCATATTCGGATATCATATCTGGATATCCATATCCGGATATCATATCCGGATATCTCAAGACCCCATATCCGGATATCAATATCTGAATATCATATCCGAATATCAATATCCGGATATCATATCCGGATATTTCGCGACAGAATGTAATTCTGCATTTCGCGAGATATCCTTCCCAAAGGTTGTTCTTTTAGCGATTCCAGAAGCTTAAACATGCATTTCTAGGTGTGTTTAACCATACCCAACCTCAAGTTATTAACTTTAGCTTATTACATGCATCAAGAATTCATTTTTAACCATTAAACTCATGATCAAGGTAAGGAACGTACCTAAGGTTTCAAAACAGGAGCTAGAGGTGCTCTTGGAGCTCACAAGTCAGCTTCAAGGTGCTGACACAAAGGGTGCACAAAAATGGCACACAAGACTTGGTTTTTCTTCACAAAGGTTAGCACTTGGAGCTTCAACAACCAAGACAAAGGCTCCAACACTACAAACCAAGGACACAACCCCCCTCACTCACACAAAACAACCACCAACACTCAGAAATGGTGCTCCTTTTCACTCACAAGGATGGTCCACACTCACCTAAGGTGTTTAGGTGAAGGAAGAAGAAGAAAGGTGCTCACTTGGAGCTTCAATGGAGGTAGAAGAGAATGGAAAGGTGGTTGACTCCACTCTTTAGAAACTCCCACGCAGCAAGGCACAAAATGACCTAGGATCATGTGTCAAGGTCTATTTATAGGCCACTTAAGTCTTAATCGCACTGTATTAGCGCTAAAAGTTACGCTTATCATTTTAATCCCAAACTTAGGATTTTGAACCTACTCATTTTTCTAAGATTTGTCATATTTTTATTTTATTTTTCGCAGCACCTTTCCGGTACGCGCTTTTACATAGCCAATATCAGTTTTGGCACCAGTTCTCATTATTTTGACTTGAAACTTGTTTTCCTAGTCCTATATATTTTTCTAGTGAAGTATACATACTTTTTATAATTTTCCGGGATACTTCATCGGTACGCATTTATACCGTGGAGCAGAACCGGTATCTGCACTTTTCATCAGAAAAGCGACTTTCAGCATTCTTAATCACTTACCATAATTATTTAAGCTTTCTCATAATTATTAGGGTCAATTATGGAATTATTTTCTAATTCTCATATTTATTTAATTAATTTTCTAAATTAAAGGTGCGGGTCCTTACATTCACCCCACCTTTTTAAGGATTTTGTCCACAAAATCAGAAACATACATGTCTCGGAAGTCGGGGTACTGCCGGAGAAGCTCGTCCTCTCGCTCCCAGGTACACTCCTCAGGAGTTCTGCCTGTCCATTGCACTTTACCATCAGAATGAGCTTGCTCCTCAGGTGCTTCTCGCCACGATCGATAATCTTGAGTGGTCCGACGGGAGTTTTCAAGTTCTCCCGAACCTCCACAACATCCGGTTGCACCACGTGCGACGAATCCGCTACATACTTGCGAAGCTGAGACATGTGAAACACATCGTGGATGTTGGCCAGTTCGGAGGCAAGGCAAGCCGATAGGCAACAGGTCCTACTCTACCAAGTATCTGGTAGGGCCCAATGAATCGCGGGCTCAGCTTCCTTACTCCGAGGGCCCAACCAACACCGGTGACAGGTGAAAGTCTCACAAACACGAGCTCACCCTCACTGAACTCCAGTGGACGATGCTTGACATCGTAGTAACTCTTCTGGCGATTCTGCGCCTGCTTCAGCTTCTCTCTGATTAACTTGATCTGCTGGGTGGTATCTTAGACAAAGTCCAAGCCAAAAAGCTTCTTATCTCCAACCTCGGACCAGCAGGTAGGAGTCCGACACCTCCTACCATACAACGCCTCGTAGGGTGCCATGCCCAGGATAACATGGAAACTGTTGTTGTACAAAAACTTGACCAATGGTAGGTACCTATCCCATGCTGAACCCTGCTCCAAAGTGCAAGCCCTCGACATGTCCTCCAATGTCTGGAT